GAGCTGGCAGTTTACAATGGACTCCATTGTTTTGGAGAACAAGGAGGTGATGGCGATTGGCCGGTAGTTGGACGGGTCAGAGCGGTCGCCTTTTTTAGGGATCGGGTGGACGTAAGCCGTCTTCCATGATTTTGGGACTACGCCTAGGGAGTAGGAGTACCGGAAAAGACGCGTTAAAACCGGTGCCAACTCTGGAGCACACGTCCTCAGCACAATTGGGGGGATTCCGTCAGGCCCACTCGACTTGTGGATGTCCAGGGAGAGGAGTGCTTTGCGAACCGAGCGCTGTGTGAAGTGCACTTCCGGCATGGAGCACTCACACCGCGGGATGGTCGGCGGAGTACTCCCCCCGTCATCGAGAGTCGAGTTAGACGCAAAGAAAGAGCCTAGAAGATCGGCTTTCTCCTTTGCGGTATGGGCCAGTGAGTCGTCCTCCCTGTGCAGAGATGGAAGAGATGGCTGACAGAAATTCCCCTGGACTGCCTTGGCGAGAGACCAGAATGCACGGGTTCCAGAAGGAAGGCGAACTAATTTCTCGCCAATTCTGCCTATGTGCTCTGACTTTGCCTTGGCAATGACTCTTTTGAAGGACCTAGAGGCGGAATTATACTTCTTTTTTAGAGCGCTGGTGTTTACATCCCGGGACGCTGATGCATCAGCCCAGGCTTGGTAGCACTCCTGCTTATAGCATGATGCTATTTTACAGGAGCGACCAAACCATGGCTGAGACTTGCCTCCAATGGGCACCACAGAGGAAGGAATAAAAAGTTCCATACCCTGAAGTACCACATCAGCAACAGAATCCGCAACAACGTTGGGATCATCCGGCGAGAAGCAAACCCGCCCCCAAGGGTAGGATGCAAAGAAAGACCGCATCCCATCCCAATCGGCTGACCTATAGTGCCAAACACGGCGGCAGCCTGCAGAATGCAACCGCGATTTCAGCGTGAGTGGCACCACACTCCGGACCAGACAATGGTCCGAGGAGCCTAAAGGGGCATCGACGGAAATCTGATATCCGTCCGGGTGAGAGGTCAGCAGAAGGTCCAACAGGGAAGGTGCATGATCCTCCACATCTGGAATCCGCGTAGGCGAAGTAACCAGTTGTGTCAGACCATATGCCAAGGCAAAATCATGAACAGATCTCCCCGCATGATCGGTTAAACGTGAACCAAGCCATTCGGCGTGATGGGCGTTAAAGTCGCCGAGGATCACGATCTCTGCGGAGGGGATCTGCTGTAGCAACGAATCTGCAGCCATTTGGACGTGGTCGAATAGTCGGTCTGTTTCAACATTACCGCTATGCGACCTATAGAGGCACCCGTAGACGCGCGGATGGTCGTCGCTGTCTACGCGTAGCCAAAGGATGGACAGGTCCGAACCTTCAAGTCTGCCGAGGCGTCGAGAGCAGATGTCCTCTCTGACGTAAACGCAAACTCCAGCCCGAGGCACAAAGGAGTGTTCCAGTTTGTACCCCGGGTAGGAGAGATACGAGACATCAGCCGGAGAGGACACCTGCGTCTCGGTCAGAAAGAGCAGAGCCGGCCTCGCCGTCTCGAGATGGTAGTGGACGGCGTTTAGGTTAGAGTGAAGTCCCCTGATATTGCAGAAATTCACGGACAGCGTGGCAGGGGTCGCCTTGGTCTTGTTGCTCCATTTGCCCCGAGCAGTTGTAGTCTTCAGCGGAATTTTGCCTCCCCCCCCCCAGAATACGCGGGGCAGCCTGAGCACCCACGCTCAGAAGTGGAGAAACATGGTCGTGGATGCTCAGCGAGGGATTCTCCAGGGGTGCTGGTACCCTCCTGGGGTAGTCGATCATTATTTAATTCCGCTACCATGTTGATGGGGGGGGGGGGGATTTGGGCCTCCGGCCACCTGCACTCACCAGACGAAACGCGGAAGCAGAGCTTCCACTTCACGCCGGTATTCTGTGAGGTCGTGGTACCACCCCGGTTTGAGCCGGCCCATACGTGCAACAGCAAAGCTGCCGCGTGGCTCTACCACTGTTTATTATGTTAACACACACAATATATATATATATATATATATATATATATATATATATATATATATATGTGTTAACATATATATATATATATGTATATACAAATATACAATACTATATAGGTACATAAAATTTAATATAAAGTTTACATGTTAATAGGGATTTTCGGAATTAAATTGGGGGTGGAATGGAAAATCTCCCGCCCAGAGTTGTGCTGAACTGGGAAGTGTTAAAAAGCTTGTTCTATGCAGGGTTATTTGTTATAACTGACCAAATTTCCAGAGAAGTGATGTAAAATTATTAAATAAATTTTAAAAATTCTATACTTTTTACCTTTTTAATTAAAACTACGTGGTAATGCATTGTTCCAAGTGATTTTACTGAGCACGTAATTAAACGTAAGGTTTGATCGGTGGGCAAAAACGTTTTTCCCATAAATCACATTAACAAAATTCGAGATGGTTGTTTTATGCAAATTTTTAAATGTTTTTATTTTGTCTTTAACGTTTTTAATCTTTTTTTTTGTATTTGCGATTTAATATTTATATAATATTTTTTTAATTAAAAAAATATTTTATATTGATATAATATTTAATTACTTTGTACGTAGTTTAAAAGTATAAGTCAGATAAATGGGGAGTCTGCTACTTTGGACTGCCGCACAACACCTCAGGGAGGAGGGAGCGGCTGAAAAACAGCTCTGTATGAGATCTGTATCTCGTTACAGACAAAGCTGAGCCGTCTCCTTTTGTCTCAAATAATTATAATGTTCTTTTGTTTTAACGTGAATGTAACTGTGTGTTTTAGAGGCAATAAATTTATTTTATTTTTTTTTGTTGTTTATTGCTCGAGATAAACCCGGTATTTTCCAAGCCCCCGCCCATGAACCTTAGGGAGAGGTAGGCTCAGACTCGTAACAAACAAATATTATTATTATTATTATTGGGGTATCTGTATAGTTTTCTCATCTGGTTGGTTTCTATAAATATATAATTATAAATTAAAATGAAAAGATACATAAATATCAATAAAATAAAATAAATACAAAAAATACACAAATAAATAAAGATCCAACCAGATGGAAGCCCTCGGCAGGGGAGGCCAAACGGCCGAGGGTTAGGGGGAAAGGGAAAGAAACCGACGGACGATGCGGGCGGTATCGAGGACCACTGCCTTCTGCATTTGAGCCCGGAGCGGTCCGTCACGGAGTCCCAGTCGCCTCAGATGACCCGAGAGGCTGACTGGGATTAGCCCATTCGCAGAGACGACTACAGGAATAATTTCGGTCGGCCAACCACCCCACATGTCGGTCACCTCGTGAGCCAGGTCCAGATATTTTGTTCGCTTATCTGTTTCGGCTTTCACGAGGTTCTCGTCATACGGAATGGCAATGTCGACCAAAAATATCCTTGACTGTGCCCGGTCCATCAGCACAATATCAGGCTTATTTGCAAGAATAGTCCTGTCTGTGATGATGGCCCGGTCCCAGTAGAGCCTGGCGCGGTCATTTTCGAGCACGGCTTCCGGCAAGTACTTGTAATAATACGGCAATTTCCGGTCCACGAGACCGTATTTCAGAGCGAGCTCCTGGTGTAGAATTCTGGCTACTAGGTTGTGCCTGTGCAAGTACTCAGAGTTAGAAAGCGCCGAAACCATGACATGCCTAAGTGACTCCCCGGGATGGCGACAAGCTCGACAGACGTCGACGGTGCCATCCTTTAGGATCTATCTCCGATAGTTGTTGGTCTTAATAACCTGATCCTGTATTGCACAGACAAAACCCTCGGTTTCCCCGAAGAGGTCACCGAAACGTAGCCAGTTGAGGGAGGCGACTGTATCTACGAAGGGCTCATGTAGAGCCCTGTAGTACCTCCCGTGGAGCTCCTTCTCCTTCCATACGGTCTCCCGGTCGGAAATGCTAAGCACTGCTGGGTCCTGCCATTGCTCGTTGGCCAAGGATAGAGGGGTAAGCCCTTTATCACTAGAAATGACGTCATTATAGAATGGATCATCCGATCTCGCCAGGAAGTAATGACGGAGGCTGCACACTTCACGATTATGAATAGTGAGCGCGCTCAGAAAGCCACGCCCACCATGCTTTCGCGGCAAGTACAGCCTCATTACCGACGATCTCGGATGATGCATCCTATGGGACGTCATGGTAGTGCGGACTTTTCTATCCAGGGCGTTAAGTTCAGTCTGAGTCCACCTGAGTATGCCAAAGGTATACATAAGGACAGGCATGACCCAACCGTTATATGCGTGTGTCTTATTCACACCGGACAAAAGGCTATTAAGCACTTTGATGATAATCAAACTGACTGTTTCACACCAGCCTCATCGATACCGATGTTCTGTGACATACCCAGGTATCGGTATGTTTCAGCCTCGGAAAGGGTCCTTAAGTTGACGGGCATAGATAAATCTATGCCCTCAGAGAGAAATATTATTATTATTATTATATAATGATGCTAGGTATTCGAGCAGGGCTTCTGCGCGCCGTGATGACCGATGGCAAAAAGAGGCGAGTGTTGCCAGCCGCCCTCCTATATAGCCCGCCGCGGCGCCGCCACTCTTGATTCAGACCCTCTTCTAACAATACTACATAGGGCAACATAGAGTATTACACACTTTTTGTTTGGAATAGCTTCTCTAGTACGTAGTACATATAACTCAATGGTCTTGCATGTGCAGAATTTGATAAATCAAAATAAAAATTGAGGCAAAATTTGAGGGGTGCTAAGTTATTGTAAAAATACCGCAGTAAAGTACAAGGCTGAGAAGTCTATCCAAAAAAATAACCAGAATATGAAATCTATCCAGCGCAAAAAGTTAACGGTAAGGGCGGTATGGTATCTACGTTAAAGTGGCTACATCAGTCATCTTCAGTTTATCGATCATAGTCTGTGAGATTTAAAAGGAATCCCTTAGAATGTATAAATTATATGTATGATATAAATTTATTGGCCAATAAAGTGTAAAACATTTTTGAGGTCTAACAACTATTTGAAATTTTATACAACGCTTGCCTAAATGTTTCAAAGGAAACCCAACCTTGAGAGTGATGCTTTTCGGCTTCATTCCAAATGCTCTGGAATTGCTCATCGGTGAAATTTTCTCCTGCAGCTTGAAATACTCTTTTTATTACTTCTGGTGTTCGTTTTGCGTACATATCGCGGTGGTTGACGTGTAGTAAAGTAAAAATGCTCGGAGATATACACGACATTACGTCCGACTCTTGTGGTAAGCATATTCTATCGGCTTTACAATAGTACTCAGGTGTTATAGGATAATCGAGATCGAAAAATCTACCTGAAGGTATACCAGCCATTCGTGACTCATTTATCTCTTGTCCAGGTTTTACCATTTCTCTGTATGTTGTTCTCAATTCAATACAATCTGTAGGATAATCAGGGATGTGTGGAATATCCGGAATTGGTTCTCTAAAATTAAGTATATGCACTAAACATTTATATTTTATGTTTGTTCCATCAAATGCTTTCCATTTAGATAATAATGGTTCGATCAAGGAGGGGTCCAGCCTTATAAGTTTTGAATTACATAATTTATAAACGAATTCTTTATGTAAACAACCAGTTTTGTTTGTGTCAAAATATTTGAGATTTAGATATAAACCATTGAAAAATTTTGCAGGAAACCGTGAAGACAAATATTTTCGAATAGAGTTAAGATGAGATAAACATTTTCTTAAAAATTCTCGCTCTGGGTTGATTTTACAAGAGCTTAGACAATCTTGAATATTTTCAGCTGTTTTAAGAATACCAAAAGAAAATCCTTCGGGAACCTTGTTTAAATTATCAGTAGGCGCTAAAACTTTTCCAACTCTGGGTTTTTTTAAATTTAGATAATTAGATTGTATTGTATTAAGTACTGATCTGTTTGCATTTCCGTTAGCTATTCTGTCATCTGTTAAAGAACATTTAGCGTATATTCCTCGTTTATCAACGTGGCTTCTACAGCCAAATGTTAAGTACGGATTGAATGCAGGCTTGCAATAATTCCGATTAACTTGTGCACCTGGCCAATTTGAAGTGACAGTTTTATCTTCCAATGGTTCTTTTGGTAATATGACATCATAAAGGCTTTCTTTACGTGGTGTCTTAATTCCAAATGTAGTGTTATATGGGTCAAGTCCTTCGGGAAGCATTGGAATAGGATCTTTAACATTACCAAGTGGTTTTTTCCAATAAGAAGCATAACTGGTTTCTTTCAGTTCATCCACCAGAGATTGAAACTTAGTTTTTAGAGGAGGATTTATAAGTTGAGAAACTTCTCCGAAAATTCCAGCGTTACGCATATCCTGTGGAGGGGGGTAACGTAAAGGAGGGGGGAACATTAGGGGCTTTTGTGGGTACAATAGCGTCGTTGATAAGTGCATCTACTTCATCTTGTAACAAATAACACTTTAAAGCGTCTGAAACTTGGTTATCAGCTTGTGCAGTAGGTAGTCCAGCAGCACAAATATTTGGATTTCTTTCAAAAAACATACCCTCATTGCCTTTTCCACCTGAAGTAGATTTATGACAATTCACAGGCATTTTATTTATTTTGTTAATAAAATTTACAATATCAAAACTTTCATATGAAGCAAAATGACAGTATATGTCACAAATTTAAGAAAATAAATTATATGAGGCTTTACTCAACGGGTTCAGAAGGAAAGCGATTGGTGACGCTATCTGTAACTACAAATCTCTCCTTATATATATATATATATATATAGTACTCGTATATTGGGTGACGTCCCCAAACAGAGCACATGTACTACCATCAACACCAAAACATTAACTGACGCAATAACGTCCAAAAAATGGACGCCGGTTCGCCCATTCACTGACGATTCTGACTGCTTCCATTTGGCGTAGCGCACGTTTTTGACATCGACGGACGGCCGCGGACGACGTCCATTTGGACTGGATGCATGGATTTCAACCCATTTGGAAATCCAGAGCTCGATGAATATCTAAATGGAATATGTTTTTACCACTCACGGAACGATTTTGGACAATTACCACTCCATTTGGATTAATGGACGTATCGTCAGTAGGTATTATAAATATACGTATAGCTATTTACGTATATGTATAGACTAATAGACTAACGTATATGAATAAATTAAGGGATTACTTAAAAGAAATACTATCGGCGCGTAAGCTTCCTTCCTGCGGACTCGACAGGAACCAAGCTTACGGAATCGTGTTTTCGTCTAACATAAACCTTAACATTAAGGCTACAGTCTTTTAAAGTTGACTCACATCGAATCATTAGCGCCACTTTGATTTCTTTTTTTACAGCAAATTATTGTTTCAGAGTAAAATATTTTGATAACACATAAATACCCAGATTATAAGTAATGGCTAAATTTTTTTTTGGTTCATCTATGTGGTCTATGTTAGATAAATCAAACGGTAAATAGAGCTCTCTCGCACCCAACGCAATTTCGAGCTTTGTTCGTGTACCATTATAAGGCAATCGATAATAAAAAGGCGAAATCTATTCAGCGCGTTAATAGCTAAACATCTTCATCTCCAAAATGCGCTGTTTCTTTTTTTCTAAATATCTTTCATTGTCTTAAATAAGAGGTCTCAATTTCGTTAAATTTCGCTGTTTTCGCCTCATAAAAAACTATTTGTTTCATAGCAATAGCTGAAAATATTTATGCTATAATTATTTTTTTCTCAATGGCAGGTGTTTAATTAGACAAATATTAAAAAATAATAATTTAAACCACTTTATTTCAAAATTAATAATTATTTCGATCGACCTATAAAATATTGACTTTATAAACAATAATTGCGGGCAATATTCCTTAGTAGCCGCTGAGCGGTTGTAGCGTTCAGACGTCTTGTCTGTGCCAAATTTTTACACTTCCTCTCGCTCTAACATTCCTCTTTCTCTCTCTTTCCCTAATCTTGGTTGCGCATTGTTACGAATTGAAAGTTGCTCTACTTTATTATTTTTTGCATATAATTCTTTAAGGGTTTATAAATCATTTTGTATTTGTTTTATAACTTTTAATTTCGATATGGACCATAAACGTAAAAAATATGCTTGTACCAGAAAACGAAAATTGAAATCAAACGTTGAAGCAATGAACAGAAATAGAATTCAAAGGTAAGTTTTTTTGTGTTTCATAGTAAAATAGTTAACAACGTGCATATGTGTGAGCACTTGGTTAAATATTAGGTATATAATTAGGTAGGTACTTTTAAGAATAGTTTATAAATGAGTTGCATATTTGTACCCAGGTCCGCTGCTGGTTCTCGCCAACCATTGTCAGATGTTAGCACCATTGAACATCATTCAAGCCATTGCGAATAAATTAAAAAAAATCGCTAAGTCGTCCGTCGATGCTGCTGTACAAGAATAGTAATTCATGCATATAGGTAAATGCTATACAAAGTTACATTATACTTTAATGAGAAACTATAAATATGTGTGATAGTGGACTGTTTGTACTTATATAGAAATTATTTTGAGTTTTTTTTTTAATCTATTTTAGTATTTAGAACTACTTGACGTACTTGACGGATTTTCGATAGTGTCATCGACTTATTACGAAACCCTCAGTGCACGACTCATTCTAGCACTTGCCAGATTCATTTGAATAATCAATAATACGAGTACATGTTATACAGGTTCTAGATGATTATCTTTTAGAAACCTTTTCAACAAAACAACAAAAATTATACAAACTTAAAATATTTTTTTTTGTGTAACGAATTTTGTAATAAAAGCATGGAACAAAAATAGATACGAGGTAGAAAATCTGTATGTGAAAATTTGTTAGCTAATTATCAATAATCCTGTATATTAGATAAATTGATACTGGAAAATCTTAGTAGAGCAACTTTCCACGCTACGGCCAGAAAGATAACTGCGGTGGCGGTACATGAAGTGGCGGGGCAGGGAGGGTGTAGATGTGTCACCAGAACGCAATTTTTCTGTTTTGCTCTGAAAGACTGGGCTCTTAATCCTCAACTTTACCATATATTTATTTCAAAATTAATGCTGCAATACTTTCGGCATAACGGAGGATCTTGCTAAGCCATTTGAGGTTATATTTCCCCTTAAGGCTGCAGAAAATAAAACACATTATTATAGTCTTATAATTTATTTTGCATTGGTATAATAGCCTTCGTAGTAGGTCATAATATAATATTTATATATTATAGTTATACATATTTTCTAATACATAACCAGTCATTAATATTATTGCATGTCTTAAGCTCAAAACGCGTAGGTATGTTCTACTAGGGCCTGAAAATCAAGAATTCAACGTTTTGTCGCATGAAATCGTATTCAACAAGCATATTGAACATTTAAATGATATAAAAAGCACATTGTTAGAAAAATAGATGATTGCTGAACTTATGATATATTTTTTAAAATCGTTTAATTGCTATTTTTACATTAAAAAATTGTTTTATTGACTTATGGTGTCGATTTAATCAAGTCCGCATGGCGGGATACACGGTAACTTTTGAAAATATAATTTTGAACAATTGATAATTTCAAGTTACAAAAATTACTTAATCTATCTTATAATCTCTTCATCTATCTTGTGAGAAGCCATGGAATCCTATACCTTTAAACGAGCAATTCTTGCATATATATATATATATATATATAATCGGAATCTCGGCAACGGCTCCAACGATTTTCATAAAATTTAGTGTCCAGAGAGTTTCGGGGGCAATAAATCGATCTAGCTAGGATTTATTTTTAGAAAATGTCCCATTGTCCGTGTTTTCAGGCAATAAAAAACTGCTACAATATAAGAAGGTAAATTTTGACAGGATACTAACGATCGTAATAGCTCAGATGGGATGTTGTTCGGGCGTGATATCGGTGTTCCGTGGATCGCGTCCCGTCTTGAGTCCGACTTTCTTTCCTTTTTTTTTCAAATTCCCTTCTTTTGTGAGAAAATCTATTATTTCGAGCCCTTTTTTACTATTTTTTAAAAATACGAAAATTTTAATTAATCTAATTGCACTCATGATTTTTTTATTCAAATAACCAGTTCAGTTATTTCTATTATGTCAATAAGATCAAAAACTATTATTCATGTAATTTGTATATAAATGTAACTTAAAAAAACCGTGCAAAGCTCGGTCATCCGGGTACTGTCATTTACATTCCATGGATTCCCACAAGATGGATGAATTGCTGAATTTTGTTTTGTTGAAAAAGCCGCTTAATTTTGTTTTGGTTAGTCATAATTATTTTCTCCCGTATCGTGGAGTCAATTACTTGTAGGGCATACAAATATTTGTTCCGTGCGGGATTCGAACTCGCGTGCCTCAGCGCTATAACTCATAGCTAAGCTACTGCACCATGGAGTCGTCAATGCCGTCATGCCTGAGTACAAATATCTAAAAATTAAAGTAATATTAAAGTTGATTTCTGGTCGTTTTAAAATAATTCTGTTAAGTGTTTTCAAAGGAAAATTAGAAGTAATAGTAATAAGGTTATTTGTGAAATCTTGTGTGTATTTAAAATACTTTAAAAAGTTGACGTTATAATACGAGCGCTTAAGGCATGCACATTTGGATTTATCAAAAGTTTTTAATAATGCATTGTTGGCTCCATGCAATAATAACATGTCCCATTTTTCTCTTAAAAACATTTTTTAAATACTTTTTTGCTTTGCACTGCATTACATCCTTTTCACTGTCAATATCTTTTTTGCCAGATAATATTTTATTTATATTTTTACAATATGTAAACATAGTAAATCGACATACTAAATTAATTAAATATTCTATTAATTTATCTTTATGTACATTGCATGTTAAAAAATTAAAATCTAAAAATAAAAGAATAATTGTTTTTATGTATTCTCTGAGGGCTTTTTGATTTAAATTATTATTTAATATTTTATTTATAGTATCTTGCATGTTAGATATGCATATTAAAAAATCTGGGCTAGGGCTGGAAAGCCAACGACGATTGGCAAATTCTCTTCTTCTAACAAAATCATTTTCAATTTCGAACCCTTACAAACTTCGCAGGATCTAAATATTTTATTTTTCGTTTATTTTTAATATCCCGAAACATATTGTAGGGGTCCCATTATTTGGGGCTGACTTTTTTCCTCTTAAGGTGTAAGGGTAATCTCATTTACAATATCTAAAGATATGTCACCAGTCGTCGCAGCTTCTCTATTCTTTGCAATTTTTGTCACTTTGGTCTTCTTCTTCACAATTTGCTCCAGGGGCATGGACACTGGACAGGCTATTGATCAATAAGGTTGTTAACGCTGATTCAAATCTTTCTGGCGTTGGATTTGTGTTACAGCACCCATGGCTTCTTATGGCCCCAAAGAAGTTCTCG